TTTTTTGGTTTTTCGAGACAGGGTTTCCCTGTGTAGCTTTGCGCCTTTCCTGGGACTCACTTGGTAGCCCAGGCTGGCCTCGAACTCACAGAGATCCGCCCGGCTCTGCCTCCCGAGTGCTGGGATTAAAGGCGTGCGCCACCACCGCCCGGCGATAAATTTTTTTAAAAGTTGCTCTTATCACTCATTAGGGGTCTTATGACTAGCAGTTAAAAGACAGAGAGAGGAAAACCACAGATGGAGCTTTTGCAGAAGTAGTTGCAAAGGCCAGCTGGAGAGCACATGGGCTAGTTAGAGAACATTACATGTGGTCTGAGTATTGGAGAAACTGCGTGATGATTGCTAACCATACTGCATGTGATTATAGTAACACAAGAAGCAAATACGGGTGGATGTTAACAGTCCTGGCATCTGGGCTATGTGTATGAGGGTTCATCATGGCATTCTCACACTCTGTGTTTGAAAGTTTTCATAAAATGTTAAGCAGACAAACACCTTTCTCTGTTATGAGCTGTTCTTTCTTTGCAAAATATTAAAATTATTTTAAATAATAAAAATGTCTCGGGGAGATACATCAACTTATCAGAGATGATTGTATCATGGTAATGAGATTCAGGGCCAAAGAAAAGGGGAAGTTTGATTTCTTCAAAGATTTTGTAGTGTTTGGATTTTTAGAATGCTATTTGGGTATTAATTTTTTTTAAATAAGTGACACATGAAATATTTTTTTTTCTAAAAGTTGAAAATATAGTCACTGCTGGCAGTGGTTAATTCTGAGAAGGGGATGTTGGTGAAATGAGACTTTTTAAAAAAGATTTTACTTACATTTTCATGTTTATGTGTGTGTGTGGGGGTATGTACATGTGAGCACAGGTGCCAGCGAAGGCCAGAGGAAGGCACTGGGTCCCTGTAGCTGGAGTCAGGTGGTTGTAAGCGATCTGACATAGGTGCTGGGTACTGAACTGGGTCCCCTGAAAGAGTAGTACTTCTGCCCTTATCACCTCTCAGCCATTTCTCCCTCCCACAGACTTTCAATGCCATCTTCATGGTCCATGTCTAAGTAATTAAAAAAAAAAAATTAAAGTGCAAAGGCAAATGAATGAATACTAGTTTATTATAGATCCCAGAGGGACAATAGGATGGTAAGAAGGTGAGCAAGCACCCAACATTCCAACAAGATGAGCTCAAGATAAAAAACAAACAAAAAAGAAAAACCACTGTAGAATGTAATTGTTAATGGCAGTCAAGAACTTCATCCTACCCGAATGCTGTAATTAACTCTCCAAGACATCTTCACGTTACTTCATGTGTTAACATTGTAAACAGTGAAGCAGTGAAGATCTTGTCTACCTCCCCAATGGTCTCTTTAAGATGTATTCTTAGGAATGGAGTTTCAGGTCTAGAGGAGATAAGAATGTCGTGGTGTAAACTACCAGGAAGCTTAAAATATAGCACTGGTTTTGCCAGTCAAATTTAATGATAGGCGCGGCCTTTGATGTAGCATGTAGCCTCTAAATAGTATTCAGATGTGTCCAGCAGGCACAGGCCAATGAAAGCAGAAGCACATATTGGATGAGATACTAGGTAAAAGTGTGCCCCTCGAGCTGGCCGTGTAGCTTGGCTAGCAAAGTCCTGGCTTAACATGTGTGAGTCTCCAAGTTTGATGTACAACATCCCCAAAATTAATTAATTGAACTAAAAGTGTGACCCTTTCTCTGACTTGGGTCCACCAGAGCCTCAAAGTATAATACATTATACATATGTATGATATTGTTACAGAATAAAAAAAATGCAAAAAATGACCTCTTTGGAAACAGAATGCTCTAGTTTCATTTCTGTTGCTGTGATAAACTATTGTGATAAATAGCAACTTAGGGGAGAAAGGATTTATTTGGCTTACAGTTCCAAGTTATAGTCCATCACAACAGGGGAGTCAGGGCAGGAACTCACTCAAGCAGCTAGTCATAGCACACATCTGCAGCCAAGAGCAGAGTGAAACAGATATAGCCATGCTTCCTTCTTACTCCCTGCTCTCAGACAGCCTTTTCCTCTTTTTCAGGACCCCTGACTCAGAATGCACCACACTGGGTGGACCCTCCTGCATTAATTAACAGTAAAGACAATCCCCAGCAACATACCCACAGGCTAACTTGATCTGGGTAATTCTTCAATTGAGGCTTTCCTCTCCAATGATTCTAGGTTGTGGCAAGTGAATAATTAAAACCGTCAGGGCAGGAGAGAAGGCTCAATGGTTAAGAGCACTTGGCTGCTTTTCCTCATGACCCAGGATTGATTCCTAGCACCCACACAGCAGCTCACAATCTCCTATAACTCTAGTTAGGGGGTCTGACTCCTGACCTCTGAGCACTAGACATGTAATGCACAAACATACATGCAGTTATTTATACACATCAAAACAAAGCAAAATATAAACTAACCAACATATAGGATCTTTGCAGATATAACTACTGAAGATGAGGTCATACTGGCTTAGAATGGACCATAATTCAGTGGTAATATCCTTACAAGACAAAGGAAATATAAGTCAGATTGATACACAATATGGCATTTGATGACCTACACAGAGGGAAGACCTACTTTAGAGTACTCTGTCTCAGCAGCTGAGAAAAGGAAATCATAACCATGGCATCATTTATGGCTGTGAAGGGGACAACTTATAGAAAAAGTAGGAAACTGCTATTAAATTATGGCATATGTATAGTGGAAATCTATACAGCTACCAAAAAGAAGAAACTGATCACCAGTATACCTTGTCAGAAGAAAAATGGGAGATCTGTGACATCCTGTACGACATAGTATCCTGTTTGTGGAGAAAGGATATTTGCCTGTATGTCAATCCACAGCTTGGATCACTGAATGACTTCTACGAAGAGAGACTGGGGACCTTGGGGTCTGAGGCTAAGGGACTTTCTTTACTATTATGGAGAAGCATTTTTTTGCCTGTGGTCTGTGTTTATGAGCTATATTTTCTTCTCTGTCCAGTTTTCTATGGAAAGGAGCAGGTCATTAGTATTTGAGCTTTTATCATTGATTTCAAGAAGTTATGGCATTCTTCCTGATTGTTTGTTTGTTTGAATTTTTTTCTCTTTTTCATTTTTCTTTATTAAGCAATTTTCTACTCACTCTACATACCACCCACAGATCCCACCTCCTTCCTCCTCCCATCCCCTAGCTCTCCCTCCTATCCCCTAGCCCTCCCTCCCAAGCCCCCACACATTCCCAACATCCCCCAAATCAAGGTCTCCCATGGGGAGTCAGCAGAGCCCGGCACACTGAGCCTAGGCAGGTCCAAGCCTCTTGCCACTGCACCAAGGCTGTGCAAGGCATCACACCACAGGAA